ATGGTGTGATGTCCAGCAAATCTTTAGAAATTCCATTAAAGACTGCCTTGCCAATCCCTTTACAGATCACATTTTTTTAACTAGAGTAGACAACTCTTTATTGTTGTTGACCTAAAGGGATTCTAGACATTTCAGGTCAGAGAAAGAGCACATGAAGCAATTTGCTGTTTAAATGATCACCTGGAGCAAGATTGAGCTAAACTCAATCGTACACACAGCACAACTCTAAAGTTTCCCCATTTTTGTGATTCATGTATTGAGCATTACTGAAAACTGCTTGTCTCTTCAATCTACAGAAAATAGGACGTGGCAGAGTTATGTTTATATTTTAGTTAGCATAATTTATAGTAGAACAGGTAAGGAAGAATTACTTAGTTTCCAAATATTTTGCTTGGCCTAGGAGAGTTACATCACAACGATACAAGTGTGCCATTATTCTTTAATTTGTGTAAAATAATATAATACACAAAGGCATGATTAATGGAAAGTGTATTCTTTTCATCCTCCACTCCAAAGTAATGACAATATATTTATAGTCGGTACATGCTGTTAAGATTGGAGAAATAAATCTGATTTTCTTCTAGGAATTTAGGTGCATGTAATATAACTGTCACTCTTCATTTGATACAGTTTTTGCAATTTAAATTGTGAAAAATGCCAAAGAACAATTGTGAGGATGGATGGGTGCAAGCAAATCGTGTAGTAGGAAAGGGTCGTCCCTTAATACTACACTTTAAACAACTGGCTCTTGGAACAAATGTTGTAATATTAAACTTGATCAGAAATCAATTATTCTTCATGGATAGAACATACTGACCTCAACTGAAAAATGTCATTCAGACATATTTACAGTTCAACATCATTGTGCATCCTATTTTAGCCCAATGAGTTGACATAGCAAAATTGTATCTGAGTAATCCATTAAGCAGGTGAATGATTTTTTGCTTATACAGAACATCTTCCATGAATTAATTGTTCAGATTTTTATAACATCCATTTGCTTAATATATATTCTGAATCTGATTATTATAATATATTATAATATATAAGTGGGGAGGAATATATATATATTCCTCCCCACTTTCATGCAAATATTATGGGAACTGGTGACGAGTAGTTTTTTAGAGATACTCTGAGAAGTAAGATGAATGGAAGAGGGACATAGGCCAGATTCTGGAGAGTCTAAAAATCTATATTCCATCCAGTTTCTTTCAGGAAATGGGCAGAGCCTAAGATGATAAGAAAATGGCTGCTGAGGTGCAGTTTCTGCCTGCCTCAGATTTTGACTCTCCATTACACAAAACATTAGGTTTGAAGGGTGTGTGAGTAAACAGAAGTTCTTTGGGGAAACACTCTGGATTGTAAGATATTTGAATAAGTAAATATAGCCTTCATTCTAAAAATCTCCTTAGTATTTTTGCGTGAAGAAAGTGATACTATTGTTTGGTTTAAATTATGTTCAAAAGCTAAATAATCAACCTTTCCAATGTTCTTAAAGCGGATAGACAATGAGAACAAAGAATAAATGGGGGAATTGGGCCTTGGAGTCAAATTGAATTAGATAGTAGTTTGATTCTGGATAATTAAAGAACACTACCTTATTTGTGATTAGTTGTGGGTGCCAAAGGGGAAGAAAACAGTGTAATTTGCAAGAGACAGGTCAGGGCTTTGTAATAAATCTTTTAGTTTTTTTCCGTTTGTTGTTTAAAGACTGCTTTCTCAAACTGGTGTGGCTAATCAAATGCACTACAGATTTCATGTCTCTCTCTCTTAAATCAATCTTTGAACTCTGGATCAAGCCATGACCTTTATGACAGATTGTTGGCCTTCTGGCATCCTTATTGTCAGAATTGTCCTTATATTTTTCAGGCTCATGGTCTCTGTCAAGAATATTTGTCACTTTCTTCAGGTTTCTCTTTCCCTCTGCCTTGAGATATTCAGAATTCTTAATATTTTTGTTCCTTTTAGTATTAGGAGGTTCCTATGAGTTTCTTTATGAGTTTTCCTGTGACCTATCCTTTTTGATTGGTCATCTCCCTCACTATTCATTACATACTTAATAGTGTACTTAATAATTATGTTTGACTCCTGGCAGTTGCCTGTAGATATCCCTGTAGTTTTCTTGGCAACATTTCAGAAGTGCATCTAAGACATAAATCTTTGGTCCAAGGTCATCCAGTTGGCTTCGTGCTTAAGATAGGCCTAGAACTCACTGTCTCCCGATTTCCAACCACATGCTTTAACCACTACACTAAAGTGGGCCTTGGAGTTCATAGTAAGATTGGGCTAATTGCCTTCAGCTGCTATCCTTGCTCCACTTTTGCCTATCTAGCCAATGAACTCGGCATTTTTATAAACATTTTCGGCTATAGTTGTTAACAATTCTCTACATTCTGTTCAAAAGGACTTTATCACTGGGTTTTCTAGATTCTATGCCGGAATAGGTCTGTTGACGTTTACCTGTTGGCTCCCTACATATGAGAGGTCAGCAAGAGGAATATTTGTGTGTGTGTGTTGCTCATCGAGATGAGGATCAGTAGCAGATTCTGAAATCTTGTTCTGTTCATTATGTTCCTCTCTTGCTACTTCATCTTGCATCTGAGGAGAAATTTAGAGTGGCTAGCCAGATAACTACCTTTTTAGGTTGTGTAATCTCATATGCTATATTGTTTACTGTTTTGTTGCATCCTGGGGTAAGGCAAAATAATCATATTGAGTGATCATTTGGGGTTGATTCTAAGGCAGTGTTTCTCAACCTTGGTAACTTGAAGATGTATGGACTTCAATTCCGAGAATTTCCGATCAACCGTGGCTGACTTGAGAATTCCAGAAGTCCAGACATCTTCAAGTTGCCAAGGTTGAGAAACACTGCTCTAAGCAATTTTACACTTAATAACAGATACTCCAGAAGTAGGAAAGATGCCTGTAATACTTAGTTGATTTATCCTGCTATTGATTGATTGATTGATTGATTGATTGATTGATTGATTGATTGCAAGGAGTATCAATGCCTTCAAGGACTTAATCTATCACAATCTCCCATGGTAATGACCTCTCTGTAGGATCTTCAGAGTGAGACATAAAAAACTGAGGGATCCTTGGTGCTCTTTGAGCTTGGTTGTTTTCTTGCAAACATTTCATTACCCAAACTAGGTAACAGCATTAATGCTAGTAAGAGCTTACTAAGGACTTACAAGCACTGATGTTGTTATCTAGTTTGAGTAATGAAATGTCTGCAAGAAAACAATCAAGTTCAGAGAGCACCAAGGATCCCTCATTTCAACCCTGAACTAAAAATATTCTCCTTTATTGGTACATAAAAAACTGGAAAGCAACAAATAGAAGCAAGAAGGCCTATATGTAGAGGAAGATATTTCATTCAAAACCATTCCAAGTTGGAATGAGACTCTTTACTCATCTTTAAGGGTGGAATCAGGAGGAACAAAGGGGTTTTTTTTTGCTAGCTTATTGCTACTTTTTCCCTTCCTAATTTATCATTTGTAGGGATTACATAATGATACTGCTTCTAAAGGCTTCGCTGCAGATTGGCTTTTGGCAACTTTCTCTAGCACTATTAAAACAGCTTTATGCTGCATAACTCCCACTTGCCTCATTGAAGGGGCTGTGATGGAAAAGAAAATGCAAATCAGTAGGAACAACAGGAAGAGGGATGTTTCTAAAGCATAAGCAAAGCAAAGCAAAGCTGCAGGCTGAACTGTACTTAAAATCTAGGATAAAAATAAAAAGCAAGCAAGGCAGTTTTATCTATCTCATAAAAAATACAGCCTCCCTTATCACCATCTTACCAGAAGTTTGCTTAGCTAGATTATTTTGAAGAAACCTTGAAAAGTTCACATACCAATATACAGGACTGATTTGGAAATCTGGTTTTCCTCCTTGCCCTGAGTAAAATTCCAATACTCTTCCTATTCAAGGTAACTAGAAGCCAGGTATTTGAGGAATTATAGGTCAAGTGTTTTCTAGGGTCAACATCTCAGGAAAAGGCTTGTTCTTGTAAACAAAGCCCATATGAAGAATTAATGGGAAAAACCATGTAATGGAATTATCTCACCCTGGGATTGAACAAAGACTTTTCCAAACGATTGTGATACAAGGTGGACATTTTTGTGGCACAGGTAGTCCTCGACTTATGACCAGTTGCTTAGTGACTGTTCAAAGTTACGACAGACCCCCAAAAGGCACTCACAACCCATATTCGAAGTTCTGGGAGCTGTGCCCCCACTGGTCTCATGATCCCATTTTGAACACTTAGCAATCAGCCCATATTTACAGCTGTTTGCAGCATCCCACGATCACATGACTGCAATTTATGTCCGTTTTTGCCAGAAATTGGAGTTTCAGAGCAAAAAAAACAACAACACCCCTTGAGGCGTTCACTGAATAGCACAGATTTGCTTAATGACTGTGGTGATTCACTTAATGATGCTGCAAAAAAAGTGTAAAATCAGATCTTTCACATGATAACTACTTGATGACCATTATGTCTTACAACCATAATTCCTGACTCAATTATGATTTTAAGTCGAAGACTATCTGTATTAAATACCCATCCTTTTGATTAAACCCATAAGAAAATGTGTAAGAAAAAAAGGTCAAAAACTATAGGGAGGTCAGTGAAGAATGACAAACAAAATATGCAGAACCAAGATTCTGTGGCTTAACCCTTTGCTCATTGCAAAAAACAATCTGTTCTGAATCTGTGATGTAATCAGTTTCTTGTCTGTGAGCCGTCATAATGGGCTTAACAAACATTTCAAACCCTTTCTGAAAATCCCCCTTTAACATCATTTCCTGCACATAACTCAATGCAATTGAAGAAACGGGATTAATCCTGCCTCTATTCCATTCTTCTCTCTCTTGTTTTCACTTCTATTTAGACTTAAGCTCTTTAGGACAGAGCCTTGTGCTTGATTTTTGTAGAATATTAATCTATAAATGAATAACCTTTCCAATTGTTCTTGTCTTTTTTTCTTTGAAAGAACCAGTGAGTTGGGAATGTTTACCAAGAAAGAATTTGATCGGCTGGCCCCAGTGGTGGACAGTTTCAGCCTCATGACATACGATTATTCATCACAATTGGGGTAAGGCAAAATGCACAGGTATAATGACACTAAGAATTGAGCTGGTGTTCAGCCAGAGATCACATTCATCCTGTCTCTTAATAGTAATAAGATAACTAATTGAATATAATTCTAATGACATTCTCTTAAAATGTTTGTATATCAACAATTTTAGGTTTCTTAGAGGCAGCCCTTTATACTAGTGTATCACATATGTATCAACTGCTCCTAAATATATTTATATTTGCATGTTTTTTAATCTTTTCCCTCCAACAAAGGGAGGAGATGCAACCAAAAGCTTAATCAATATGAACTGAATTAATCACTGACAATTAAATTTATTTGTCATTTGTAAAATTATTTGATCCTATACTTGAGTGTAAATATGCACTTTTTTTCTTCACACAAACTACTTTCTTGCATGTTTACTTTGTTGTCAGTTTGGTTCGATAGCTCTTTTTTCCAAGTACACTTAGGACTTTGGCCCTATTAACTTGCTAGACACTTTTTCTTCTCATTCCCATCTCTATATAATAAACTTCTTCCGTGGAGATTGGCAGCAGGAAGGCAGGATAGAGATAATAATAAGTACTCAACACTCAATAATAATACAGATAATATACTGTAAATATTCAAATATACATTCAAATATACAGCTCAGTTGAAGCAATGAAAACATTCATTAGAGAATGCATAATAAATCTATTATAATTCCTTTTGGCTTGTATATATCTAACTTTTTATTATTGATTTCACTTTGGTAGGCAGATTGCTAAAAATATATGTTCATATACTGCTTGTGGAAAGCGAAAGAAGAAAGCAATTCTTTTAGGTTTTCTTTCATCTCTGCTTTGAAGCAATTCTGATAGATACATCTTCTTTTTATTTTATCAAACCATGTCTTAAAACATTTAGCTTGTTATTTTAACTGTCAGCTAAGTATACACATAGGATAAAAGAAATCATTCTGCAGATGGTCCAGGGAAATACAAATTCCATGTTGATAAAATATACTTTTAACATAACTGCTGTCTCTAGCCAGTGGCCGACACATTAAAAGACACGAAAATGTAATAGCAGAAGCAGATTGTAGAACATGAAGCAACAGCCATTTCAAAAAGAATTTTATCCAAAATGCCTGAAGGATCTACAGTGGAAAAGTCCAGTGCACAGATGAATATTTCAAAAACCCTTTACAGATGGAGATTGTTATAGCCACATTTACATATATGTGAATCTAATATTTTAGAACTGTAGAGGGAGAGATTGTGAATAGTATGTTTTAAGAATTTTCTCATAAAACTACTCTTTTTTTCAGGGCAGTTTTCTTTATAGGAAAATGTATATCCTCTTGGGAAAAATGCCCCAAATGGGGCATATTGTAAAACAGTAAACCAAAAACAATAATAAGGCAGTTACAGAAATGGTAGAAACTAGGACAAATATAAATTGGATGGATGGATGGATACTGTGGTACATATTTTTTTTAAAAAATCTGTATTTTTCTACTTCTAACAGTGGTTTTTTTGCAGTGGAAAATACTGATTTTGGACTAGAATCTTGTTAAACATAGTTCTACATTTGGGGGGAATCTTACAATTTGAACCTTAATTTCTTTCTTCCTCTTTCTACAGGTCTGGCCCCAATGCCCCATTGCCTTGGGTGCAAGCTTGTATTCAGATGCTGGATCCAGAATCCAAATGGAGAAAAAAAATTCTTTTGGGGCTGAATTTTTATGGCATGGATTATTCAAGTAATGTAAGAGACCCCATAGTTGGCAACAGGCAAGTGTTTAAAGTCTGAGTTTTCTGAAAACATTGTATATACTTATAAAGTGGAAATTATATATATAGTATATATTTTGTATGCATGTATATATCTCTAGAAACCTGGGTACAGTTAACCATAGTATCCAAGGAGCGCGGTGGCTCAAGTGGTTAGGATGCTAAGTTTACAATCAGCAACCCCGTGTTCGACACCCAAGTGCTGCTATGAGATGGGCACATTCACTCCATCTCTTGCCAGCCTAACAGTTTATAAGTGTGGAAACACAAGTAGATAAATAAGTACCTCTTCAGTGACACATTAATGGGAGTATGAAAGGGCCCCCCAATCAGGCATCTCCCAGGCAACGGTGATGACACCAGTTAATCCTTTCAATCCGGTGCCTCCAATACAATCACGAATGTGACCAAGGTATCCAAAGCAAAGGAAAAAGGAGATAACTTTTTTCTTCCTGCATCCTCATTTCTATCCTGTAGTCATTTTTAATTTCTTGGCTCTAATACCAGAAATGACCCAAGAATATAAAAAAGTGACTACAGCAACAATTGGCCAGCATCAGACCAGCAAGCAGTGGGGTTCAACACTATATTTCTCTTCTCCCCTCTGTTCCCTTAATTGTGTATGTAGGACCACATATTCTATTTCTTAGGCATGTAGAAAGAACAGTGTTTCCATTGCTATATTGTTTAGTTTGGCAATAGATTTTGCTGATTACGTTTAAACAGCTGTTCCCTTCCCCCCCCCGAACCATTCAACATTCCATTCCAGTTAATGTGAGTTTATCTATCTTTTTTGTACATTAATCCATAATCTCTTAGCTTCCAGACAATCCTTAGTTCTTATCTCAATTAGTAGTAGAGTGGAACTGGTTGGAAAAAGCAAATTTCTTCTTCCACAGAAGGTAGGACCAAAGAAAAAGGAAGCCAGATCCTCACAGTCTATTGGCCCCGTCTTTCACTGAAGTGCAAGATTGAACTGGAACTTCTTGTGGGCTTTTTTCCTTGTTATAAAGCTGAATCCTCTGTCTTTTGTTAAATTATAGTGAGGAGGAACTTAACATACTTCTCCTTCCCTGTTTCTGCATATTGTTCTTCTCTCTACTGTACCCATGAAACACACATAAGGACAAGCTCTTATTCAGTTTTGCACTGAACGGGCTTTGCATTAAAATGCTGTGAAGCAGATCAAGGTGACATGTTTAATAATATAGAAATTCTGCAGTGAAACTTTACAAAGCCAAGTCCTTTTGCATTTCTGAATATCACTAGCAATTTCTAAATACCACTTCTGCTGACTAATCTAAAGGACACTTAATTTGTATGATACAGATGAATGCAAATGATTTTTTTAAGAATCTGGTCTTTTGAGTAGTCACCTGTACTGTCAGCACAAATAGATTCTGCATCACTTTGAATCCTGCTAAATGTAGGAATTAACATATTTTGGAAAAGTAAGATTGTACCCAGCCTTCAATGGCATGCGTTGCTATCCTTCCCATTTCAGTGTTGTTTTTGTTTTTCTTTAATACCAGAATTTGAAAACTGAGTTTCCACAAATTTGAAATAATTCCCCTGCACTAAAAGCAAAGAAATCCCCTGTGCTACAATCAAAGTACATCTTTACTGGTGGCTTTTGTTCCAATAAAAGCATCTGAAGATGCCCTTGCAGCATTATTAAATAAGGGTTGCTTGCAAGAGTAAACCAGTAAGAAAAAAATGATCAGAATCTATATAGTAACACAAAATGTTCCTCAAATATATCAGATATTATGATAATCTGTTAAACATGCTTTTTAAAAATGTTGAACTGATTACAGTTGGGTTGTAATTCCATATTCCGAGGTTTTTGGCAGTAAACTCAAGCATGTGTATATACGTATATATAAAGCCTTTAAACGTACATGGATAAGATTAGGTTGTTAGAAGTAATTTAGCAGCATAGCTGAGTAAGCAGAACGGCAATTTTCTGCTTTGTATTGCAGCTTTATTTTCTGAGATATATATAACAGATATTATATATATATAATATATATATATATAAATAAATAACTTACGATCACCAGGAGGATCCAAGTAAGAAGATACTTTAATAAAACCAAGCTTTCGTTGGGAGCTCCCAACATCGTCAGGGTTAAAAGCCAGTCATCGGAAACACCTTAAATAAGGTTAGCTAGCGTTTGCGCCCGGCTCCTAGAGCGCGTCATCGGTCCTAACCGGTTAATCTGCACTCTGGTCATTTCTCTGGCATCTGTATCTAATTCTCCCCTATCACTCTTTTGAGCACTCTTGCTTGTTCTCACAGTGCTAGTTCTTAACTTTGTTCGGACCCTTTTTCCCTCTTCCTCTTTAATGCTGTTTATCCCCATGCTATCTTTCTCTCTGCTACGGGTTACGGGGTAATTCCATTCCATACCATCATATGTTCCATTGTGATCCCAAACACCTTCCCCCACTCTTAATTGTAAGTTGGTGGTCTCTTCTTGCTCCCCCTCTCCCATCCTCTTTCCCTCTTCTATAGGCACTTCCCCACCTCCTCTTCTTCTCCGTCTGAATCGCTCCTCTTCATTGGTACAGGCAACGTTAGGCTCAAAAGTGAGGATCTATTAGGGTTTTGTCGAAGAACATACAAGTCCCCCGTCCGACGGGCTCCCCTCTTATGCTTTCTAGGGAGCACTCAGTTCTTAACGGATACTTATCCGCCTTCAATGTTGGCGGGCTCCTCAGCTGATTGTCGGAGCGAATCCATTGTTGGTTAAGTATCAAGGGGATGTCCGTGGGCTGTTGGGGGTCGTTAGACATCTCGTATGTTTGTCCATGTTGGGGGTTGGATGTAATGCTGTCTCGGTCTCGTAAGTGCCGGCCGGATTGTTTGCGGCGAGTGGGGTGGCAGTTCCTGCTCCATTTCCCCAATGCCTGCTGTGATGGGCAGAGATCAATGTGGCGATTAATTGAGTCCTTGTCTGAGAACCAGGCTTCCTTCATTAATTGCCCCCCTTTTGTGGCATCACTGGATATGACCCGTGTATTGTCAAAATCAAATTGGTGGCCACGTTCCGCCATATGCGTCCACACTTGAGAGTGTTGTTCACCCCTTCTTACGGCCAATTTGTGCTCGTGTAAACACGTTTTTAACCGTTTGGATGTCTCACCCACATAACTGCTTTTACAGTTCTTACAGTCAATTTTGTAAACCACCGCCGATCTTTCCATGGCGGGGAGTGGGTCTTTGGGGCACATAATTTTGGAACGCAGCGTTTGATTGGGCTTGTGGGCCACCTCTATGTTATAGGGGGCCAACAGTCTGGCTGCTGCCTCAGAAACGTTGCTAATGTAGGGTAAGGAGATGCGTGTCTTCTGTGGTAATGACCTATCCCTCTGTAGATTGTTGCGGGGTTTGGGTATTATACAGTGCCGCTTTATGAATTTTATGGGATATCCATTCTGTTGACAAATACGGAGGAGATGTTCCCTCTCCTCCGTTTTGGATTCAACCGTGCTGCAGTGGGAGTCCACGCGCTTAAATAAAGCTCTAATGCAGCTAACCTTGTGGGACACCGGGTGGTTGCTCCTGTAGTGGAGGATCCTGTCCGTATGGGTGGGCTTACGGTAGACTTTTGTGTGTAATGACCCATCCGGCTGGCGGTGGATCAGCACATCTAAGAAGGCTAAAAGACCTTGCTTCCCTTCCTCCACCGTGAATCTTATATCAGGATAAATCGAATTCAGTATTCCCACAAAGTTAGCTACATGTTGTTTTTTAACAACAGCAAACGTATATATATATATATATATAATTATTTTATTCGCAGTAGCTCACAGGGCCACCATTAAAGAGAAAATTATAAGGAGAAAAATTATTGTGTACTTTGAGCGCAATATTAGTACATGCAGAATTATTCATGGCTCTTCAGCTAAGCAGGCCCATTACATGATGAGAAGATTTGCCTCCCTTTTCATCCTACCTTCATGTCCACCTAGTGATGTTTTTCTCTGTTGTTTTGTTACGATATAGCAAAATAGGTTTGAGACTTCTTTTACTGGTATTTACCACTGTTACAGCAAAGTTATATGAATGGATGTAAGATCGCTTGATTGACAAGGCCCCTTTCAAAGTGAAGCATGAGGCAGATGCTATGAGGAAACCTGTTGGTCCCATCCAATATTCTCTGGGTGAGAGGAGGGTAACAGATAGAACTAGTTGAAGCGATGATGTAATAATGGCAGTGGGTGGCCCTCTCTAGATCAATGTTCTCAACCTTAGCATGCTGGCTGGAAGTTGAAGACCACACATCTTAAAGTTGCCAAGGTTGAGAAACACTGCTTTAGGCGGAGGATAATAGCAAGGAAATTGTACCATCCACCCCCACCTCATCTGCTACTTAACCCATCCTGAACTGGAAAGGAATGGTAAAATAAAATAAAGCATGTTTTATTTTACACAGTTACTCTTAGAGGTTATGAAGATATATGATTTGGGTTTTTTACTTTTCTTAAATGGATACTTCCTAAGTGGGATACTGGAAAGTTTGTCCAGGCATCCAAGTGGCTCATTTTGCAGTAGTTGCTTCTGTAAATTGTCTCATTAATTTATTGTGCTAGCTGTCGGAAAAGAACAGGGCATTAGGCAAAAGTATATCCTACCTAGCAATGAAAGGAGGCAAATAGAAAGTAAGAGTATCTAGCTACAGATGTATAATAATAGCTATTCCCCCATGCAAGCTAAATGGTGTGATAGATTCCCTATTTTTCTGTGCAATAATGAAGACTGGATATTGTTTTCAATAGAATTCTGAAGGGCAGCTTTTAACTAAGATCCACAAGGGGATTTTGTTAATGGCCTTGTCTTCTCTTTTCTGTTTCTTGGTGGCATATACTTATGAGAGCACTAAGTATAAACTAAGGAATCCAAATTGCATTCCATTTAATGTTCAGTTAATAAGTTTATCCTAACTGGATAATATGTTAGTCAGGAGAAATCTTTGGAAAATCTTTTATGTTGTTACTTCTTTCATATAGTGA